TGTGGGTGTTGTAGTCCAATCAGAGAGGATTGTGGGTGTTGTAGTCCAATCAGAGAGGATTGTGGGTGTTGTAGTCCCAACAGAGAGGATGGTGGGTGTTGTAGTCCCAACAGAGAGGATTGTGGGTGTTTTTGTCCTTACAACCGAGAGTATTCTGCATGTTGTAGTCCAACCAGAGAGGATTGTGGGTGTTGTAGTCCAAACAGAGAGGATTGTGGGAGTTGTAGTCCCAACAGAGAGGATTGTGGGTGTTTTTGTCCTTACAACCGAGAGTATTCTGCATGTTGTAGTCCAACCAGAGAGGATTGTGGGTGTTGTAGTCCAAACAGAGAGGATTGTGGGAGTTGTAGTCCGAACAGAGAGGATTGTGGGTGTTGTAGTCCAATTCAAGAGGATTGTGGTTGTTGTAGTCCCAAAAGAGAGGGCTATGGGTGTTGTAGTCCCAGCAGAGAGGGTTGTGGGTGTGTTTTAGTCACAACAGAGAGGAATGTGGGTGTTGTAGTCCCAACAGGGTGGATTGTTGGTGTTGTAGTCCAAACAGAAAGGACTGTGGGTGTTGTAGTCCAATCAGAGAGGATTTTGGGTGTTGCAGTCCAATCAGAGAGGATTGTGGATGTTGTAGTCCCAACAACAGAGGATTGTCAGTCTTTTAGTCCCAATCAGAGAGGATTGCAGGTGTTTTAGTCCCAACAGAGAGGATTGTTTGAGTTGTANGTGTTTTAGTCCCAACAGAGAGGATTGTTTGAGTTGTACAATCAGAGAGGATTGCAGGTGTTTTAGTCCCAACAGAGAGGATTGTTTGAGTTGTAATCTCAACAGAGAGGATTGTGAGTGTTGTAGTCCACACAGAGACGATTGTGGGTGCTGTAGTCCAAACAGAGTGGGTTGTCGGTGTTGTTGTCCCAGTCAGAGAGGATTGTGGGTGCTGCAGTCCAAACAGACAGGATTGTGGGTGTTGCAGTCCACACAGGGAGGATTGTGTGTGTTGTATTCCAATTAGAGATGACTGTGGGTGTTGTAGTTCCAACAGAGATGGTTGTGGATGTTGTAGTCCCAACAGAGTGGATTGTGGGTATTGTAGTCCAAACAGAGAGGATTGTGGGTGTTGTAGTCCAATCAGAGCGGATTGTGAGTGTTGTTGTCCAATCAGAGAGGATTGTGGTTGTTGTAGTCCCAACAGAGATGATTGTGGGTGTTGTAGTCCCAACAGAGAGGATTTCGGGTGTTTTAGTCCCAACAGAGATGATTGTGGGTGCTTTTGTCCCAACAGAGAGGATTGTGGGCATTGTAATCCAACCAACAGAGAGGACCGTGGGTGTTGTAGTCCCAGTCAGAGAGGATTGTTGGTGCAGCAGTCCAAACAACAGTGAGGATTGTCTATGTTGTAGTCTCAACAKCAGAGAGGATTGTGAGTGTTGTAGTCCCAACAGAGAAGATTGTGGGTGTTGTAGTCTCAATCATAGAGGATTATGGGTGTTTTAGTCACAACAGAGGAATGTGGGTGTTGTAGTCCCAACAGTGTGGATTGTTGGTGTTGTAGTCCAAACAGAAGGGACTGTGGGTGTTGTACTCCAATCAGAGATGATTTTGGGTGTTGCAGTCCAATCAGAGAGGATTGTGGGTGTTGTAGTCCCAACAGAGAGGACTTCGGGTGTTTTAGTCCCAACAACAGACAGGGTTGTGGGTGTTGTAGTCCCAACAGAGAGGATTTCGGGTGTTTTAGTCCCAACAACAGACAGTGTTGTGGGTGTTGTAGTCCCAACAGAGAGGATTGTTGGTGTTGTAATCTCAACAGAGAGGATTGTAAGTGTTGTAGTCCACACAGGGAGGAATGTGGGTGTTGTATTCCAATTAGAGATGACTGTGGGTGTTGTAGTCCCAACAGAGATCGTTGTGGATGTTGTAGTCCCAACAGAGTGGATTGTGGGTATTGTAGTCCAAACAGAGAGGATTGTGGGTGTTGTAGTCCAATCAGAGAGGATTGTGAGTGTTGTTGTCCAATCAGAGAGGATTGTGGGTGTTGTTGTCCCCATCAGAGAGGATTGTATGTGTTGTAGTCCAATAAGAGAGGACTGTGGTTGCTGTAGTCCAAACAGAGAGGGTTGTGGTGCCTGTAGTCCCAACAGAGGGGATTTTGGGTGTTGTAGTCCAAACAGAGGATTGTGCGTGTTGTAGTGCCAACAACAGAGAGGATTGTGGGTGTTGTAGTCCATTCAGAGAGGATTGTGGGTATTGTAGTCCATTCAGAGAGGATTGTGGGTGTTGTAGTCCCAACAACAGAGAGGATTGTGGGTGTTGCAGTCCAAACAGAGAGTATTGTGGGTGCTGTAGTCCCAACAGAGGAGAAAATGGGTGCTGTAGCTGAACAGAAAGGGTTGTAGTTGTTCTAGTCCCAACAGAGAGGACTGTGAATGTTGTAGTCCAGTAGTTGTTGGATACTTAAAGCCCTGAATCGACCGTGTGTTTGAGCCCCTTCATTTTATTTACAGTCACACAAGTCTTTATGTACACCACACACACACACACACACACACACACACACACAGGCATGCACGCACGCACGCACGCACACATACACACACATCACTTTCACATCACTTTGTTAAATAATCAAATAAATCAATAAATAAATGTTATTATAAATACTTTGATACCAGCTGAACTCTACAGTCTTTGATTTGTTATTTACTGATTTTACAGGATTATTCAGTCAGCACCTGAATCAGTCGACCAATCAGGTGTCTCTCTCTGGCACAGGTASAGACATACAGGACTGTGATTCGTTACCATGGTTAGAGCAGCTCAGGACCTCACTRATCATACTCGTAMTAAAAACAAAAGTGATAAAAAGATAAAACATCTGATCCGTGTCAGGTCCACCATCCAGAAGAGGAGGAGGTGCTGATGYTGGTTGCCATGGAAACACTTCCCAGCAGCCAATCAGAGTCTGTCCCGAGCAGGAACCCAGATGTAGGGACCACTCTGCTCCTCAATGACGATCTTCACCTGGTGGTAGACCTCCTCGAAGCTTTCACCCTGAACAATGGCTGAAAAATACAGAAAAACACCTGATTAAAGAGACTGACGTTAACCCCAACCATCACTGATGTTCCTGTAACCAYTCATTAATGACCAACTGTTACAGTTCTGTTGGAATCATCACAGGCCTTCATTATTTAAATCAGCTCGGAAGGTCAACAAACAGACAGACAGGGTCAAACTACTGCACCAACGTGTTGAGCAGGTCTCCCCGATGGTGCACACAAAATCTGGTTCAGATCAGATCATYTATGTGTGATGTAGCAGTAACTTAAGCTCTACCTCAAGACTTTGGCCAACACATTCCTCTTTTCCATGCCTACAAGAGAACAATGACTTATTCATTTATCTCCAAGCCTTTTTGTTTACTATCTACAAGTGGTAAGATAGCAACAGGACATGACCACCTCCTATTGATTAAGTACTGTGTAAGAACCCCTTTGATGTGCTCAAAATGGCRGCTTATCACAAAGAACTCAAGBTTTTTGCAGACTGTAAGTCTATCAGGAGTGGATTTGCTGCAGTAAAACCCTCTTGGAGACCTGATCTCTTGCTGAGATTTGTCACCAAAACAAGCTTCAAAGGGATACATTTGCATACCATCTCATTTATGGTTTTAGAGCGCCCCCAAAAGACTGGTTTCATAATTACATCACGAACAAATGTTTTTCTGTATTCCTCATTCTAAAAAAAGGGAAAAAAACCATTGTATTTTTTATCATGATTAAATCATTGTAATAAGGTACTGCTTTAATTACCTCACAAGTAATCTACCAGTCTGTGTGTTTGATCAATTTAGTGAAAAGACTGTGAAGAGGAAGGCAGATTWTGTGACTATTTTCAGCCAATCCTGAGTTTCAGAATCAGAACAATAGGTCCAGTTTAGCAGCAGTTCAGTCAGAAGAAAAAAGAGAGAGTTTGAAGAAGAAGTGGGGAAGGACGAGCTCCAGTTTCCCCCCTTGGGGACATTTTTCTTTTCTTTTTTATTTTATTTTATTTCATTTTATTTTTAACTTCAAAGTTGTTGATTCCTCTTTATAGTGCGGGACCGGATTTATGCAGGAACTGAGCTTGATCAGAATTTTTTTTAATCAACAAGGATCRAGAAGCAGACTCCTGGTTCCAGCTTGGAGCCGKCCCAAGCCGCTCCGAGGTGTTTAGTTTGTACCCACAAGGGACCGCTCTGAAATTGGGCGACATCGCTGACCAGCTTCGCTCGAACTTCGGTACCCTGGGACAACCTGGCAAACATCTGACCGGTAGGACAGACATATTTTCTCTGTCGATGGTGTGCTCAGCTGYGTGGTGTGGTGAAGGTTCTGGATCATTAAGTTTGTATTGAAGAAGGCTTTGGCAAGTTCATTTCCKTKATAATTCARGTCCCCTCTTAATCGATGAATTAACACTTTCTTTTTATTAATCTGTAAGTTTTTCTATTTTTGCTAGTGTAGYCTAGTTTAGTTGAGGTTCAGTTAGAATGATGCTAGAGATGATTWAAGGGTGATAAAGTGACGCTTATTATTAAACCTCAAGGTCTTGATAATAATGGTTTCTGTTGCCAAATAATCTGCTTGTATTGTTACCTCTGAATCAATCAATACAGGGTATATTTTGAAATTTATGCTCGTCTGTGRGTCATTTATTCGGTTTACTCTCTAAAATGGTAGGATTCGCTATTCAGTATTTGAGACTGACTAAGATCTATAAATTAATTTCCTGTATACCAGGTGGTGCCCCATTATTGTGCTAATAAGTTACGAGGAACTTATAATTTAGCAACTGTTTAATAACATCAACAGTATTCTCCTACAGTGATTAAGAGCTAACTGTGTGCAAATGGCGAGGCATCAGCATTCGCCACTCTGCCACGCCTACACCACTCTGCCACACCCARACATCCCTCCARCAATCAGTGTTGAGAGAAGCATGCAGCATGTGAAGTCTGCATGTTCAAAGCTTGGCAGGGTTAGCTCAGATACATGTGCAAGAAAAGAGACAAACTGGCAGCTCTGAWTCAAAATGGCCGACTTCCTGTGGGGATTGGACCAGGACTCCAAGAGACATTTTTGTAGGTCCTGAGCCATTACCTACGTGTACCAAATTTCATGATTGCAGGTCCAAGCATGGCTAGGGGCTGATTTTTTAAATAAACGTAGGGGGTACTGTGGAGGAGTAAAGCCACGCCCTCAAAACTTGTGCTGCATTCCTGTAGTGGTGTGGATTAGGATTGAGTGTAGTGCATTGTGTGCAGATTGGCTGGAATATGTGGAATTTAGAGCCAAACTTWTGTCAACCYTGTGATGTGTGACTTTGCTGCTCCGCCATGACCACGCCTTTCACCGAAAAGTCTTTGTGCTTAAAAACAAGTGAGATCAACTTATTAACTGTGTTCTGATTCAATTTGTTGRTGATTAGATCAAGAGGGTCAGAGCTGAAGCTGTCCAAACATAAGGGTTACTTCCTGTTGRTAGGGGGCGGGGCTTAGATGATGTCAGCATATGACCGCATGGTATGGTTGGGCATGCAACATGGATGACTCATGTGTCAAGTTGTACTGATTGTCCGTAATTTACATGGATTTTCCATCATTTTGCAGGTATATGGACATATAGAGCAATCTCACAGATTTTTTTCAACTTTTATGGATTTTTTTCAAAACCTCAGTTTCAAATTAATCTAACATGTCAGAGCCTGTGGGACATTAAAAAAACCCATAAATGACACTAAATAACAAACTTCTAACTGGTTCTGCCGCTAGAAATAACACTAGAAATAAGTTCTCCACTCTGTGGGTGCAATTATTACGGATATTTTGCAAAAATTACAGATTTTTGGGGTTCATTATGCAGGTAAACGTCCAAAGGGGTTGACATGTATGATGGCTCAAACCGTTTGATGTATTTTAGCTTTTCTATGTGAAAGTTGCAGCTTTCTGAAATTGTAACTGACAAAATTTCTGTCCCCCCCCCACACACACACACACATATGGGGACAATAACATTTACCTGTCTGTCTGTTAATAAAGACAGGTGAGTTTACCTGTCTGTTAATAAAGACAGGTGAGTTTACCTGTCTGTCTGTTAATAAAAACAGGTGAGTTTACCTGTCTGTCTGTTTATAGACAGGTGAGTTTACCTGTCTGTCTGTTAATAAAAACAGGTGAGTTTACCTGTCTGTCTGTTTATAGACAGGTGAGTTT